CCCCAATCTTCGCAGTTGCGGTACACCCCATTCTCCAGGATGTACTGCTCGCCAGAGAAGTTGGGGCCCTCGTAGGCCACCCACCTGCCAGGAAAACGTGAGGGGTGGCTCAGCACCCGCCACATCCGTCTCCCCTCACCCCCGTCCCCGCACTCACACGCCGCTCAGCACGTGGATGGACTGGGTGACGGTGCCGTAGCCGGCCAGCTGCGTGTCAGGCAGTGCCTCGCTCAGCTCCACGCTGGGACCCTCCTCGAAGTCCATGGCCTCGAAGAGAACCAGCGCCGGGTCGGAGAAGTCCTGCGGGAAAAAGGACACCCCCGGCCCCAAGCCCCTCGGTCTGTCAGTGGGAAGCGTCCACAGGCCAGATGCTCTCCACACATGCACCCGGGGTCCTGCCTGGTCTCAGGGACCCCAGGGAAGGTGGGAGAAGCTCTGGGCACCCAGAGTTGTGAGGAGTTTGGGGGAACTCAGGCCATTCCCAGCTGCCTGACACAGGCAGGGAAGGCTCCCTTTTGGGGGATGAGGATGGGACTGGGGGCTGCTCTCCCTGCACATGCTGGGTCAGTCCCCGAGCGATGCCACCGCCCCTGTCCTCACCGTCCGTATCAGCCGTAAGGACACCAGCTCCTTGCCGTCGCCGCCCCACAAAAAAACTGCATCCAGCAGGTACTGGTGGCCACGGAAGCCCTCCTTCTCGTAGCCAACCCAGCTGTGGCACAGGCAGACGCAGGCAGTGAGGTCTCCAGAAGATTTCCACGTGCCAGGACGCGGAGACACCGTCTGCATCGCTCCCCCAAGCTGCCCTTGGCCATCCCACAGCCCTGGGCAGCTCCTCCGAGCCCCTTCCCAGGGATGACCATCACTGTCCCAGCCTGCTCCAGCCAGGATTGCCCACCCCATGGCACTCACCAGCCACCCAGGACGTGCAGGGAGCCCACGGTGGCCAGCGCCGGCCCAGGCAGCCGCTTCAGGTCGTAGATGTCTCTGCTGATGGTGAAGCTGCGGCCCTGGAAACCCGCGGCCTCGTAGATCAGCACCTGGGGACACAGCGGAGTGAGCGTGGTCCCACGGACGGCCCGGACCCACAGCCTCCCTGGGGGCTGGCCTGGTGCTCACCTGAGGCTCACCAGGTCTCTCCACGACGGGGCCGCCCTGGAAGCAGAAGAAACCCCAGTGAGGCTGAGGTGGCAGGAGGGGACGGCGTGAGGACACCCGATCCCCTTCTTGAGCTGTTTTTTGGGTCATTTTCTTTCAAGAACAAGATCTCTGGGGCTTTGTTTTATCGCTTTCCTTCACCATCGACCCACAGGAGCACTTTCCAGAGCCACACTCCACACATTTCCACACCGAGCTCACACTGATGTGAACCGAGAACCACCAGGAGATGCTCTCGCCTGTCATGCCCAGGGCTGGATACAGCCCCAGCACCCCAATAACCAGTAACACCCCAGTAACCAGTAACACCCCAGCAACCAGCACTCACCAGCCTGATGGGGTGCATGGAGCAGATGGATGGGTCCTTTGCTCCCCAAGCCTTCAAATTGGGGTACCCGCCCGGCTCCAGAACGTAGGGGTCATCGTCAAAGAAAGGCTTGGAGTAAACCAGCCACCTGGGAAGGGGGAGGAAGCATCACACCCCGCTCCAGGCCATGCTGGAGCCCACCCAGCACCCACCCATCCCCACGGACCCACTCACAGGCCTGAGTGGACAATGATGGAGGCGGCAGTGAGTGCCTGGCCCCGCGTGCGGGTGTCCTCGGCCGAGTCGGTGAAGGTCAGCCGGGCGCCTTCGCCGTTCTCCTCCGCGAACAGGCTGATCTCGGGGGTGCGGTAATCCTGGCGTGGGGCAGAGCAGCGTTACAGGGGTCTGGCACCCCGCACTTGGCAGGCACCAGGAGACTCGGAGAGGGGAGCGGGAGGCTCGGGGGTGGGGTCCCTGCGCTCAAAAAGGGCCGGATCGGACGCTCCCTGCTGCCGTGGGGCTGCCCGTTCTGCCCATACGCCGTCCAGGGGTTGTCGATCTCCACGTCGCCCTCAGCCAGCACGCACTTGCGCCCATGGAACCGGGGCTTCTCGTACATCACCCACCTGGGAGTGGGATGGGAGCAAAGGAGGGGGAAAATCCTGCTATAACCCACAGCTGTGGGTACCGCGGGGCAGAGCGTGGGTGGGGACGGGGACATCCTGCCACCCCGGCCATGCTGGATCGCAGCAGCAGTAATTAGCACTGGCGGGGCCGGCCCTC